CGTTGATGACCCGCACACTGCGACCTGCGAGTGAGGGAGAGGAGGGGGGGGGAGCGGAGGGGAGGGGAGGAGAGAGCAAAGAGGCACGCATGAAAACATTGAGCGAGTTCAATATTGCAGCTACGCAGCACAAGAAACGCGAGCGTGTCAACTTATTCAACGGTTCATGTTGAGCCTGCTCAGCTCAGCTCATTTTCTAGGCGAATTAATACGCTTGATTGCAAAACTTAAACTCGACATATTGCTGAACTGCTACACGATTCGCTGCTCTCTGTATGCTTCTGTGATGGTACGATTAAAGCCCGCAGCCCAAGTTGTTCAACCTTACTAAGGGTGACCATTGGGTGGTGGGGGAGGTGGACAAAGAAAAGTCGAGGTCCTGAGAGGGTGGGTGGAGTTGGTTTCGCCCAGATTTTCGCCACGCTGTGTTTTTCTTGCTGACTCAGCAAACACCAGGGGCCAGCTCGCGTTCAGTTTCGAGAGTCCCATGTTGCACAGATAATAATATTGAAAGTTTCCCGCTGCTCACGTTTCGCGAACCCAGTGCATGTGCTTGGCCAATCAGATCTCTTCTCACAATAACCCTAATTCGCACAAGAAAAAAAACCAAAGCAACGCTCGATCAAGAATAGTAAGGTTGACCCGCGCGATCCGCAACTTGGGGCCACCGGCTTTAGAGAAAAGCCACAGACACACAGACACACACAACAGAGGGAACTCACTGTTGATTTGCAGTTGTGGGTATGCAGGCCAGTGCATGCGGTTGGCAGTCTTGTCATTTAGCAATACACACCACACCTGGTGGCATCCAATCCAATTCATTCATAATTTAAAGGAAACCCAAGCGACGCATGGAAGGAGAGAGTGGAAACCCAAATAATCAAGAGATAATTAGTAGATTGTCTGTATATGATAATTAATATATAACAATACATAGATATACATTTGGGGGCAACAATGGGACAAACGAGCAGCAACTAAGGCACAACTGTGAAGAGCAGAGGGAGAGCAATTACGCATGCATGTGGTATGGTTTCAGTAGGTCGGGCTCACTCACTCACCTGCAGGTAGTGGTGCGGGCGTCTGAGCAGAGAGAGGTCGTGTGGGGTGAGAGTGAAGGTGTGCTCTAGTCGCTGCAGCACTTGGTTGCTGCGGGGGAGAGGTGAGATTGGAGAAGAGGAGGGGGAAGGGGGGGAGAAGGGGGGGCGAGGGGAGGATTGAACACGAGAGTGAAGGTGTGCTCTAGTCAATGCAGCACCTGGTTGCTGCGGGAGGGAGGCAAGGAGGGATTAAGGGAGGTGTGGAGAGAGGAAGAGAGCATGGAGAGGGAGGGGTGAGAGTGAAGGTGTGCTCTAGTCGCTGCAGCACCTGGTTGCTGGAGGGCGGGAAAAAATGGAGCACGGAAGGGACGTGTGGTGAGCGGGACGGGAGACAAGGACGGCCCGAGTTGCCCGACCACACGATATGACACCAGCACTGGCTCTCCTCCTCCCAATATTATTTTTTTAGAATTCTCAAGAACCAACACGATATGACACCACTGGCACTTACACCACCCAATGCCTCTCCTCCCAATGCTTCTCGCAACAATGATCACAGCGTATATCACAGTCTTAGGCCGTCTCGAACCTCACCTTATCTCATCAAGGTTCAACCTCACATCATCTCATGTAGCAGCTTCGTAGCACGCTCACTCCCTGAGCACCTTCAACACACTCACTCACTGAGCACCTTCAGCACGCTCACTCTCTGGGCACCTTCAAAACACTCACTTGTCCCCGGGCAGGCGAATGAGCGCAGTTGGTGGCATCGGATTGGCCACAGGGACAGAAAATCTGATATCTGGCAGACCGGCAGCGCAAGAATGGTGATGGGAGAAAGGGGTTGGAGACGAAAACAAAAACAAAGGGAGCGAGTAAGGAACGAAGACAGGAGAATATACTGGCCGCCGACGACTAGGAAAATTCCTCAGCGCCAGGATCGGAAGGCTGGTCCGGGGAATGGGGACAGCAGAAAGCCACAATACCTTTACCAGAAGTGACAGATACAGGTCTTCCTCCCCTGCAGTTAAGCTACGAGTGGCACTCATGGTTCTCCCTTGCCTAAACCTAGTCAAGAGTCACGTCACACTTACGGGTCGCCCCGGGCCATTCTGCAGAGCTCGCAGTGGTGGAGTGGGGTGGGCTGTCTGTGACGCAGAACTATCTATTTCTCGAACCCAGATGTCAGCTGAGAATTACACTTACGGGTCGCCGCGGGCCATGCGGCAGAGCTCGCAGTAGTGGTGTTCGGGGAGGGGAGGGAAGGTGGTGGGGTGGGGTGGGGCTCTGAACGCTGTTCAAGGCAATTCTACAACCCTTATGGCAGCTATGAGTCACACTCACGGGTCACCCCGGGCCATGCGGCAGAGCTCGCAGTAGTGGTGTTCCGGGAGGGGAAGGTCAGGCTGGGGCGCTGCAGAGGTGTCTCCCGTGAGAGGCGGGTTCTCTGGCAGAATGACGCACTTCACATGCTGCCACACGCCACAACCCTGGCCCTCGCACTGCAAACGGTGGGGTAAGGGGTGGGGCCCGTGGGGGAGAGCAAGAATGGATGGGCAGCAGAAGGTGTCTCCCGTGAGAGGCGGGTTCTCTGGCAGGATGACGCACTTCACATGCTGCCACACTCCACACCCCTGGCCCTCGCACTGAGTGAGGAGGAAGGAGGGAGGGATATGGTATGGTAAGGAGGAAGGGGGAAAATGGGGTGAGGCAGGAAGAGATAGGGAGAGAGGGGGATTCAGAGGCGGGTTTCTTGGCAGAATGACGCACTTCACATTGCCACACACCACAGCCCTGGCCCTCGCACTGGGTGAGGAGGAAGGTGGGGGGGTCCCGGATGGATTTGACGCTAGGGAGGCCCTGCGTAGGGGAAGCGGAAAGGCAAGGGTAGGAGGAAACCTTTGAGTCGACTCAAAAGTCATGATGCTAGGGAGGCCCAGCGTAGGGGAAGGGAAAAGGTAATGGTAGATGGGGGCAGGGGCGTTATAGGCACAAACACACCACCTAAGCTACCTCCACTTTTGCGTCGCGTCTAAACAGGCACGTTCCACCTGTCCATTGTTGGAAGAACCTGCCTGTTTAGAGGCAGCTCTCTAAACACGCACGTTCCACTGCTACAGAACTTGTCAACAATGAATGGAGAGCTGGGCTGCGGAGGTGGGCTGCGGAGGTGGGCTGCAGAGGTGGGCTGCGGAGGTGGGCTGCGGTGCGGAGGCGTTACTTCCATCAACTTTAGTGGGTACACCTCCATGCAGGCACGTTTCACCACCACAATACACCCACGGTCAACCACAGTACATCCACCCACCCACCTGGATCATAGTCTTCCCGTTGTCAAAGTTTCGTAAGCAAACGCACCGAATCACCTCCACCTGCTGCTGCTGCTGCCCGTACACATCCCCCCTTCCAGCAGCCGCCCTCTTACTAGCCCTCCCTCCCCCGCCTGGCTCTGTTTTCACTCCCCTAGATGACCCATGCCCATGCCCATGCCCGTGCCCATGCCCATGCCCATGTCTACTTTGCTGCTGCTGCTGGTGGTGGTGTTGCTGCTGCTGCTGCTGCTGCTGCTGCTGCTGCTGCTGCTGCGGGGAAGCGAAGCCTCCATCAGGAGCCATATTCCCGTCTTCCTGTGCTCCCGCCTCTGTCCTACCCACTACCTCTACCCTAGCACCTGTCTCCGCCCTACCAGCTGTCTCCGCTCCTCCGCGCCCTCCCCCACGTCCCTGTCGACCCTCTCCTCGCGTCTCCTCTGCGGCTGCACTGGGGAGGCGACTGGCGTGTCCCCCTGCTGCCCAGTGCTTCGTAGAGACCTGCAGAGGGGCAGAAGGAAGGGAGAAACGAGACAAGGCATTGACCATGGGAGGATGGGGGACGGTGTGAAGGGAGTAACACAACAAGGCATCTCCTCTCGCCCCCTCTGATGCTGCACTGGGGAGGCGACTGGCGTGTCGCCCTGCTGCCCAGTGCTTCGCAGCGACCTGAGAGGGATAACATGAGAACGGAAGGGGAGTGGGAGCAAATACACAGGAACCGGGTCTGTCTGCCCCCCTCACACACACCTCCCTCGCACGCACCCACCTCACACCACTCCCCTCACACACCACTCTACCCGGACGTCTCTTGAATGAACTCGGGCCTCGGCTGCTTGCACATGAGTGATGGTGGGCTACTCTCCTTCACACGCACCTCCCTCACACACACTTCCCCCACACACACCTCCCCCACACACGCCTTCCCCACACGCACGCACCTCCCCCACATGCCACTTTCCATCCACCACTTTACCTGTATGTCTCTTGAATGAACTCGGCTACTTGCGTGGGAGTGATGGTGGGCACGCCTGCAAGGGAGGACACGGAAGGGTATGAAAGGCAAGGACAGAAGCGAGGAAGGAAAGATGAGGGAAGGACGAGCGGTGGGAAGAGGGAAATGGATGCACGTTAGATTCGGGCGGCGTGAGGATGAGCTTGGGTGCATGCATGCGGGCAGGTGTGATGGTCAGCAGAAAGCACGCAGTATGATATGTCCGGGAGTAAGGAAGGGAGAGGGCCGGATGAGCGGAGGGAGATGGACTTCATGAGATGACATGTGCGCCATTGGAGGACCAATAGGAGGAGTGCATGAGACGGCTAGGAACGGCCACGTGGCAGGGTTGCTTGCAGTAGAAGGCGAGATCATTACACTTCTGTTGAGATAAGGAGATCAGATCACGGCCGTTGGATGGAAGAGGAGCACTTACGGCCGTTGAAGGGGACAGATGGGGATGATAAGAGCGCTTCAATTCGATCCACCAGCACCTGTTCCCCGTGCCATGTGTTGTGAGGCGTGTGAGGAATGTGGGGCATGTGCGGCATGTGAGGCATGTGGGGCATGTGGGGCATGTGAGGCATGTGGGGCATGTGAGGCATGGGAGGCATGTGGGGCATGGGAGGCATGTGAGGGATGCGAAGCATGTGAGGCATGTGAGGCATGTTGTGAGGGATGCGAGGCATGTGAGGTATGTGCGGCATGTGAGGCATGTGAGGCATGTGAGGCATGCTTCTGAAAACGCTGCTACTGATTCTGAGGACGCTGCTACTGATTCTGAGGACGCTGCTACTGATTCTGAGGACGCTGCTTCTAATTCTGAGGACGCTGCTTGTGATTCTGAGGACGCTGCTTCTAATTCTGAGGGCGCTGCTTCTAATTCTGAGGACGCTGCTTCTAATTCTGAGGACGCTGCTTCTAATTCTGAGGACGCTGCTTCTAATTCTGAGGACGCTGCTTCTAATTCTGAGGACGCTGCTACTAATTCTGCGGTCGCTGCTACTGAAAGGCTTGCTGCACTGCACCCTGCACCCTGGAACACCCCTCAGGTCGCCAATCACTGCCAGAAGGTGAATCATGTCAGCCAGCCACAGCACAGCACAGCACAGCCAGGACCGCATGCTGCAAAGCGCATCTCTCTTGTGCTTCTTACAATGCCGTGCTGCTTGCTTGCCGCCTTCGTTCCACTAGCAGGTCACACTGCAAGAAGGTGAGTTATGTTAGGACCCAACAACACTCCCCCAGCAGCCTCTGCCTTTCAACTTTCTTCTTACAATGCTGTGCTGCTTGCCGCCCTCGATCCACTAGCAGGTCACTGCAAGAAGGTGAGTTACGTCAGGACCCAACAGCATTCCCCCAGCAGCCACTGACTATTCATTTTTTTTCTTATACTGGTGCCACTGCTGCCAGCCACTGCTGTCACTGCAGCCACTGCTGTTACTGCTGTCACTGCAGCCACTGCTGTTACTGCTGTCACTGCAGCCACTGCTGTTACTGCTGTCACTGCAGCCACTGCTGTTACTGCTGTCACTGCAGCCACTGGTGTTACTGCTGTCACTGCAGCCACTGCTGTTACTGCTGTCACTGCAGCCACTGCTGTTACTGCTGTCACTGCAGCCACTGCTGTTACTGCTGTCACTGCAGCCACTGGTGTTACTGCTGTCACTGCAGCCACTGCTGTTACTGCTGTCACTGCAGCCACTGCTGTTACTGCTGTCACTGCAGCCACTGCTGTCACTGCAGCCAATGTCGCCTCCTTGAGCCCAACACGAGTCACTGCCAGGAGGTGTTTCACGTCAGGAAGCAACAGCACATCCCCATACATGCATCGCATAGCATACCGCCTTCGAATTCCTTCCCATTCCCTCCCTTACAGGCTGCTGCTGCTGCTCAAGCCAGCCCGCTTTGTCTGCGCTAAGGCCTCCACTATCCGCGCTATAGACCTTCACTGTCCGCGCTATACAGCTGCCAGCGTGGGCACAACTGACCTGCTTCTTGCCGGATTTTGAGAGACCTAGATGGCCCAACACGTCCTTAAGCTCCTTCAGTCGGAAACAGGCGAGCTGCGACTGCAGGGAAGGATGAGGAGGAAAGCAATTTGTGGTAAGGAGAGCGAGAGAGTTGGTGAAGTCTGTTCTGGTCTTAAGGCGCCTCAATAAACAGACCTAGTTGGCCCAACACGTCCTTGAGCTCCTTCAGTCGGAAACAGGCGAGCTGCGACTGCAGGGAAGGATGAGGGAGGGAGAGTTGGGGTGAGGGAAATGAGAAAGAAGCCACGATGCTACTACGATCACCATGCTACTACCACCATGATGCTACAGCCACGATGCCATGATGCTACAGCCACGATGCAACAGCCACGATGCGACAGCCATTGCGCTAGACCGAGCTGCTTCGAGATCAATGCGATTCCGCGAAATGCACAAGAAGCACGAAGCCGTACGATAAATTCGTGGGTATCTGATTACTCAAAAGGTTACCACCAGACAAGTTACGCAAGTCGTGCTGCTTATAGCGAAGAATAGAAACGGAACGCATGTCACGCGCGAAGCGCACAACGCTCTTAAGAACAAGCAAGCCGGACGCGCACCAGACGCCATTCAATACGAACGAGTTGGGTTCGCGTGAAGGCATCACCAGCCGGTATTGCAATCAAAGGAACAAGCTAGCCGCTTCGCTCTACTGTATTTCTGGTCGTCATGGCTCTTTGTATGAACAGCCTAGCAGCCTCACACTGCATCACCAGTCGTCATAGCCATCTGCTGGATCGCGTACCCCAGCTGACGTCATCACGTACCCTAGCTTGCGTCATCAGATCGTCCATGGGCCTCGCAGCGACCAGCGCTGGCATCAGCAGCGCGTACGCGTCGATCCGACGGCTGATGTGAAAGACTCGGACGGTTTTCGTGGCTGCATTAAAAACAGCTCCAGTAAGAAGGCAATCCTACAAATACAGCATGCGAAATCTAACGAGCTTCGTCGGATCGCTTTGAAAAAATCGACGACGGACGGCGACGACGCCGGGCTTTCGTCTGCAACAAACCCTAAAGCGCTCGACGACTACAGCGCACTCTTCTGAACAGTGAGCCAACGCCACCCGACAACAGCGCGGCGAGAGATTTAGAAAACCAGGACGCGTGACGCAGAAGGTGGTCTAGGTTAAGTGGCTGCGATCCGTGGCAGTGTACTGTAGCTGCCTATTAGTATCTAGTATCTACTAGAAGCAGGGAAGCCTAGCCAGTCCTGTGTCCTAAACTCCTCCAGACGCAAAGCAGTGCACTGTTCCGTTGCGTCCACGGCAACCCCTAGGTGGTGTGGGTGTGTGGTGTAGCGTTCCCGCCATTTGAGTGGGTGGGTGACGACGAGGGTGCCTGTAGGCTTGCCCAAGTCATTCAGCATAAAAAATGGAGTTTGTGATTATGCAAGGAAAATTCCTTTTCCTTACTTCGCTTCCCTGCTCAGCGCGTACACCACTGTTCCCGCCAACAGCACCCAACAGTAATCCGTTACCACTCGCGACACTCGCCTCGACACTGTTCCCGCCACTCTTCACGACGCGACCCAACCTCACGGTTCGGTTGGTAACCCGCGCTCCGGACCTCCGCCTCGACATTTCCCAACCTCGGCGCTAGGCCCGTCGCGCACCCCATTTTCACACATTACCGTTACCACTGTAGTTTCGCTATATATTCTTCGCTCATGCCTTCGCTCATTGTACTCTTGCTTCGATAGTGCAATTCTCGATCGCTCACTCAATTGCACTCGTAACACTTAGTATTCAGAGCCTACGATCTCTTCTCGGACCGCCCACACCTTCGCTTCCCCACTATCTCAATTTTGGGGGGGGGGTAGACGTCTCTCAGCGAAACAAGCACCGCCGCTCGAAGTGCTCTCTCGTAAGCACGCACGGCCACGACAGAGGCTCTCGCTGAGCTTGCCCGACACCCCTGCCATGGCTGAATTTACTCTCGCGACACTGACGCAAGAGCAACTCGACCGTCTCGTGCGCCAAATCGAAGACTCGGCGCTTGAAATTGCTACACTCACGGCGGAACGCGACTCCGCTCGTCAGCAATCCATGGTGAATGCTCCAGCACCACCACACGCACCTGCAAATGCACCCGCACTGTCGGAGGAACCGATCGTCATCTCATCAGGCACACCGACACGAAACGACAGTGTGGGACAGCGCTCAGGCGCAGCCAGTGATGGCGCCGCTCAATCAATGCATGGCATGGAGAAGAACAGGACCGCACCAAGCCCGCGGGAGCCTCATGAAGCCCGTCGGCATGTGGAGTTTGCAGCGACAAGTGGCGACCACGCCATCATGGCACCAATGCCACTCAAGCTGCAGCGCCCGCCCTGTTTCGACCCGAGCCAACGTGGAGGTCCGACGGTTCAATCGTGGGTCTTCACGATGAACGTCTTCTTCGACGCGAATTACGTCGAGTCGGACGCAGCGAAGATTCGCTATGCGGTCTCGATGCTGAGGGGCCCCGCCATGGACTGGTGGCGAGTCATCGTGACGTCGCCACGCGCCTACGAGCCGCCGTCGCAAGAGGAAGGGCCCACGGGTCCAGCCGTCACCTGGAGTTCATTTTGCGAAACCGCCCAGTACAGCACGTGGGATGCGTGGTGCGCAAGGCTTCGGGCGCGCTTCGAGCCGATTGCGGCTTCCATTTCGGCGCGTCAGAGACCGCGTACTTGGCGGCAGCTCGGATCAGTTCAAGACTACACGAGCGGTTTTCTCGCATTATGCGAGCAAGTCGGCTACATGCACGAGGCGGAGCGGGTGGACCGTTACGTCGGAGGGCTGAAGCCGGACATCTCGCACGAAATCATGCTACGCGGGCTCTCAAATTTCAACGAGATCCTCGCGCTCGCCGAGAAAATCGACATTTTGCGTCGTCCGAGACCGGGGTCCTACTACGGACATCGTCCTCAGGGACCGATCGAGCACGCCACCGTACACGCCGTTGCGACGAATGCAGCTTCCGCGCCATTTAAGGGGCGCTGCTTTGCTTGCAATAGGCCAGGCCATCGCAAGAGCGAATGCCCAGAGGAGCTGAGGCGCTGCGGAGCAGAGCAGGGGAGGGAGTCTCAGAGGCAGGGAAACGCCAGCAGTCAGTAGAAGTTGGGCCAACTACTGACGAGACTGCCTGCTCGCCCAACCTCACCGACCCTCACCGAGTCACAGTACCGATTCATGCCATCGATCGGGCTCGGATGAATAAGGAGGGTACAGCGACGGATTGCCCAGTACTGATCCACGGGAAAATACAGGGAGCAGCAGTGAAGATTTTTATAGACGGAGGAGCACGTCACAGCTTAGTTAATACTGCGACCGCACGGAAACTGCAACTGACACTTAGTCGGTGTTTACCCGAGATAGACGCACGCTTAGTTGACGGCACGCCGCTGGCCACACGGGAGAAAGTGGAGAGAGTAAAAGTCCGCTGCGGGGGGAACTTCGGGTTTACACAGGAAATGCTCGCGACGACATTGGATGGGCACGACATTTTACTGGGACGTGATTGGCTGCGAACCCACGAATCGACTGGACGACGGGTAGCTGCACTGTGCGAAGCAGCGGTAACTGGGTCGAACTACCTCGCTGGCGGTCGCCCGAGTCTTCGACGGTCCACGTCAATGCCATCACGATGAAACGGGCTGTCGCCGCTGGAGCTGACGTGTACGCGGTAGATATCGCAGAAGTAGGAGAAGCAGAGCAGCCGAACGATTTTCAGAAACTACTGGCAGCGGTACCGCCCGAACTACAGGAACTGTTGAAACGGTACCCGGGGATTTTTCCCGACGACTTACCGGAGGGACTGCCACCTCAGCGGGCACACGATCATAGAATAGAGTTAGAACCCGGGGCACAGCCAACCGTACAGCGACAGTTCAGACTGACACAGCCCGAGCTCGACGAACTAAGGAAGCAGGCATGTGCATCGACTACAGAGCACTGAACAGGGTAACAGTCAAGTCGTTATACCCCATTCCCCGCACCGACGAACTGATAGATCAACTGCGAACAGCACGGGTTTTTTTTTTCGAAAATCGATTTACGGGGAGGTTACCATCAGATTCGGGTCAAACCATCGGACTGCGCCAAGATAGCATTTAGGACTAGGTACGGGTCATTCGAGTTTACCGTGATGCCTTTCGGGCTTACCAACGCACCGGCGACGTTTCAGATGACCATGAACGAGGCATTTAGGCCGCTCTTAGATAAATGCGTGATAGTTTACCTCGACGACATCCTCGTCTACAGTCGCGACAAGCAGCAGCACTTAGTAGACCTGGAAGCAGTTTTTAAAGTTTTAGACGAGCACCGGCTACTGACCAAGGGTTCCAAGTGCGAGTTTTTTTAGGACCGGCTAGAGTTTCTGGGGCACGTTATTTCAGAGGCTGGGGTTGAGATCGACCCAAAGAAGCTTGACACAGTAAAAGCGTGGCACCCCCCGACAAATATCACGGAGCTGCAGAGTTTTTTAGGGTTCGTTAATTAAGTGCGTCGGTTCGTCCCCGACATGGCAAGGTTAACAGCCCCACTGACGGATCTGCTGCGGAAGGGGGTCGCTTTTACGTGGGGGGAGAAAGAGCATGCTGCTTTCTCTGCCCTGAAAAATGTTCTCTGTTCACCGCCCGTACTCCGCAACGCTGACCCACACCGCCCATTCGAAGTGGTTACAGACGCAAGCGACATCGCCATCGGAGTCGTACTGCTACAGGATTTCGGCAACGGCCTACAGCCTATCACATACGAGTCACGAAAACTGCATCCGCCCAAGAAAAATTACCCGATACACGACCGCGAAATGCTCGCGATCGTGCATGCATTCAAAGTGTGGCGCTGCTACTTGACCGGCGCAGACGTGACAGTACGGACAGACCACAAGTTACTACAGTACCTCCGCGCACAGCCCTACCTCAACCTAGGACAGATCCGCTGGCTCGATTTCCTCGAGTCAAATTTCCACTACACAGTCACCTACAAAAAGGGGGCATCGAACATCGTTGACGCACTGACCCGCCCCATTGCCCAAATCCATGCCATACTACT